CAGACACCGCTCCATAGCTAGCAGTTCCAACCACAAATGATACTGACATTTCCCTGCTTTATTTCTGTCACAAAACTGTTGGGAAATTTAGAAAGTCATCATTTTTTCAACATCATAATTTGTCTTTCTCTTTTTACTCTGTAGAACTAAGAAGAAAAGAGTAGAAACCACAATTAGATGGGCTTTCAAAGAAGCAAAGGAAAATCAGCTTTATGGAGCAATCTGCATGAGTAATGATATGGGAAGTTTAGGTTGAGCCTTTCATCCCAGTGGGCTCCATGTACATGTGGACAGAGTGCAGAGTACCCATTTTTTACTTCAAGCCTATCATTCACTGCATATGTTTAATCAAATGGCATTGAAAGGTGGAAGTGCTGATTTTGTCCATGATGACTGATAATGGGTTTAACACCACCCTGGGAAACTGCAATAGGAATTGGCAGGAATATAAACCTTCTATTTCCTGAGGTCATATTTTGCTTTTGAAATGTGGAGAGGTTTTCGTTGTGGTTTTTTTTTTTGTTTGTTTGTTTCATTTTGTTTTTGTTACTGTAAATATGGTGAATACAGAGCCAAAGCCATCATTAAGGCTTGTATGTTCCACGCTTTACATTACTCCACTTGGCTGCCTCAAAATCTGCACATAACAGGCACAGCAGGAGTCTGATAAACCGAATGCTTTTTGAACGTGGCTACTAGTTTAACATGGGGCGTCCATTTTTTTCCTACCTTCTGAAGTCATTCTTTGAGACAATGTGCGTTAATACTAAATCAAGAAGTATTTCATCCAATCAGGACATGGCAAGGAGGAATGCTATTACAATAACCATAAATGATTCCTATTATAAATAGCCATGGCTTCATATGGAAAGCAAAGGAAAATGTGTTTATTTCAAACACTAAAATGGGCAGTATTTCTATTCCATAACATCCAAAAGCATATTCTTCTTCATTTCTGCAGCAAGATGGAGCACAAATGACTTAGTGCTTGCATTAGGCTTACACAGCTTACCTCTTTCCTCCATACTCACCATTCTCCAAAGGTTACATTTGAGTCACATGTCCTCTTTATTGCTTAGTATTTCACTGTACATTTTCCTCCATTTCCAGCGGTGTCTCTTAGAAATGCAAGCACTGGGCATTAATGGAAATGTTTTAATAGAAAACTCAAGAGAACTCTATTAGCAAGAGCAGCCCTGTTCAAAGCTGGATGATTCTGATGGATCTGATAAGTGTTGAACTTGCTCACAATGTATGAAGTGGTCATTGTAGCCTTGATTTTCTCCTTCATGGCATTCAGTAAAACTCAGTTATATTCAGAATTTCTGTCCTTGGGAAGACAGCAAGCTGTCACCTTCCTTCCCATCCCGAAATGGGACAGGAGAATTCCTGAGAGAGGGAGATAGAAACTGCCTTTCCATGCTTCGAAGAACATTAGTAGAGATGTGTAACCTTGTGGATATCCTTTAGGCTATTAAGACCTCATAAGCAGGTTTTATAATGTTTCAGGTTTTATACATAACTTTTGAAAGTTATTTCCTCCCTCTCCCCCCCCCCCACCCCAAAAAAGTGTTATTTTTAATGACTGATTAAAATTTCAACAGCTTGTGAAAAATTCAAGGAAAGCCATCCCTTATAATGAAAATTTTAATTGATATCTGCTTGAATATGTTATCAGATTCATTATTGAAATTCTATTTTTGCTAAGCATTTTTATTAAAAAATTTCAGGGTTTCATTAAAAGAAATGTGACAGATCTGAATGCCTTGAGATGAAAACTAGTTTGCTTAATGAATTGTGTGGCATTCAAGCCAATCTCATTGTCTGCCACTGTATCTAATAATGCTATATAATGTTGGGAGCTACTCAAATCTGCAGTAATGTAACATTTGACATCACTATTTTTGCAATTGCTCTATTAGTGAGTATTGCAGCTGAATTTCCTGATGTCCCAGGATGAGGTTTATGGATTTGCCCATAGGGATACTACAGATGATACAATCAAATATACCAACCTGCCCATGAGTTTATCTTTTCCTGGAGAGCCATACTGATAATGTTATCAGCTCCAAAGCAAAATTGAGAGTTGTCCTAGCCTAGCTGCAAAAGCTTCTTTATTCCTGGAGAGTATTTCACTTGGTGGCTTAATGAAAGTAAAATAGAAAAATATCAGGGGAAGAAAAAAAAGAAGAGACAAAGTCTATTTCTGCCTCAGATGCTCTGTACGTTCTAGACAGTGTCCTGCTAATTGCAAAAAGCATGACTCATTCAAGTCATAAATCAGCATTTCTTGAGGCAGCAAAAACAGCCTTTAAAATTCATTGCAGTAAGACTGCTTTATTACATCGCTGGAAAAACTGCTTCCCAACAGCAGCTCCCTATTCTGCACAGCTATCTCTGCCAAGATTTGATAAGACAAATAGGGAGACTTGGGCGGAAAAGAGGAAAATGATGAAAGAAAACTTTGCTGCAAATTAGATACAAAATGGTTTTAAGCTATCTTGTTTCAAGTGTCTTTCGCCTCCTCCACATCTCTCTGTCACATCCAGGAGGGCTTATGGATTATGCTGAGGAGATCAGCCTGCGCTCATCCCTTATTCAGGCAGTTTTCTCTCAATGACAGTTTTCCCAGCAAGAGGTGGGGAGTGGTCCATAGGATTTTGCCAGTGCTGCTTAAAACAGCAAGCAGGACCACTGAGTAATGTGTCAACGACAGCTGTCTATTCAGAGATCTTCCCTCTTCACTCCTATCCCATCCCAGATTTATGTCCGTTTTTCCTTCCCAATCTCCACCAGCTCTGCCCTCAGCTTATCACCACTCTGCAAATGTCTTCCTAACCAAGAGGAAGGAGCGATGATTCCGCAGCTCACAATGACAAACTCCATCATCACTTGCAGGGTTTTTCAGAATGATGATTGACAGCCCTCCTGAAATTGTGTAAAAATTAACATGTTTAAAAAAAAAAAGAAGGAAAGAAAGAAAGAAAACCAGAATCTGTGGTCTGTTGATCTGACTCTGGGCAAAACACAGCTCTGGCTGTGGCTGTTTTACATCTAATCGCAGCAGCAGAGCAGCTTCCAGCCGATCTTATTTGTAATTTTTTATCTCACTGTCCAGCTAAGTCAATCAATTGCTGCAAACTGTGTTGTGCTGCAGGGGAAAGAATAATAGAGAAATATTCAGCCAAACAATAAGAAACTCGTTCCTACTGCTGTGTATGTATGTTGAAACAGCGGCCTGTCCCCTGCCTGCCAGGTAATGCCACCAGTCCTTGATAAGACTGCTACAGCTCTCTCACTCTCAGAAAAATTGGCAAAAAAAGCCATCACTCACACCTTGGGAAATGTCCATGGAATAATTACTCCCTCCAAGACAATTATATCCACAAAAGCTCCTTCCCCTCAGAGGGAAAATCCTGGTGGAGGCTCTTCTCAATTAAGGTTTAATGTATGTCTCTACTTCTGAAAAAGGGTTGTTCTCATTCCCACTGGAACCACTCAGAAGCTTTAATGGTTTTTGAACCAAGCCCAGTGATGATGCATCTTCATCAGTGATAGGAGTGCTTCCTTTCTTCAGGTTTTCCCATGGTTTAGATGCATATCCATCACACTGCAGCATGCTGGGGATGACAAATTGGACATACAATCACACAAATAAGTGAGATTTCCTACTGACTCTTTTGCTCCTCGTGTCTGCTCTAGGGATTGCATGGAGGATGGCACTTTCAATGACTTTTGCTTTAAGGACACTGTTTGGGCCAGTTGCTGCCATCCACACCAGCATGGCTAGGAAATGGGTTTTAAACCCTGAAATGCCCCTCAGCTGGAGGGCTGGAAGCTGGCCAGGCAGGAGAAGAAAATAAGTAACAAAATGTGGAGCGTTCTTGCTTTGTACCCCTGTAAAACTGCTTCAGAGTAACTTTCATTTCAACTACCCCACAGCAATTACACACAATTGTCCTGGGAGGAGCAAAGATTTTCTTTGATGGAATTATCATTTAATTTTTGGTCTGTATTTAGCAAACCAACTTCCTATAGGATCCCTCTTACCTGGCAAGGGAGAAGACAGATTGCCTCTGAATCTTAGGGGCTTCCCTTCAGCTCTTCTGTGCTTCCTTCAATCCGTATTATTCCTGTATATCCCATTGCTTTTCCCAACAAACTGGGTGCACATCATAGTATTGATTGCCACTCTCCATCACACATAGACACATTTCTCTTCCTCTTTGCTCAAAGAAAACTGCACAATTGACCACAAACCAACAGTCAGGTTTTTATGATATCTGTATTGGTTATTAAATTTCTGAACTCTGTGAGAAAAATGAGAAACACGTGTGAGAGTTACTTGTGGATATACAACAAAATCATTTCACTCAGTCAAGCTGCTTATCAAATAAATGAATAAAGAAAAGCATTCTTTCTTAACATAGAACTTACATCTTTAATAAACATCTGCTGCATGTTCTCGTGAGAATCCTATTATACAACTTCCTTTATTGATTCATGTATTAATACCATTTTGTATTAAGCTGGTACATAATTGATGATATGGAAGTGTTTTCATATTACAACTCCTTCACTACATAATATAACCCACTTATCATATTTTCAGCACAAAATTCACAAAGTTCATGGGTGCATTATACACTGAAATGAACAAATTAACTGTAGAAAAGTACAGTATATCATTTGCAAATTGCATGCAAGCTAAAGTAAATACACAGTGCTAAATGCTGACTTTGATATAGTTCAGGTTGAAAGGCATACATCAGCTAAGAGAAAAAAAATATCTAAGCATTCAGTAGAATGGAAAAATCTCCCTCAGAAAACAAGACCTTGTCAGTTGAGTGCAATATATACAGCTGTGATTGGTGACTCTCCCCAGGAAACACCTTCCCATCTCCAGTAACTGTAGTGCTAGTACTGCCTTCCTGCAGCATCAAGTACTGCTCACTGAAAGCAAAAGAAGCAGGAGAAATCCCTGAGGGGATTTATTTTCCTTTAGGTTTTAGGGCCTTGTTTTGTTTTGGTTTACCTGCAGTTGAATAACAGGCTTCTGTAGTACTTCAATACCTAATGCGGGGAGATTACACAAGGCTTAGAAACTTGCTCTTTCTTATAAAATATAATTTAAACTAAGCTCAGAAAGGCAGATAAGGAAATCTTCCTGCCAAGCAACACACCAGAGCAACGGTGGCATAGCCCTTACCCTGCAGTCCTGGGAGCCCAGTGTTCCCCTGGCCTGGCTTACCAGGGTTTCATCCTTGGCGGATCAGTTAGAACCATTACTGTTGGACTGCTCCTCTTAATACTTTCACCAATGGAAAAACATTGGTTTGCAAGAACAACACGCATGAAACCTCAGCCTTATGCATCCGTAAATAGGGTTCATTTTTATGCTGCTGCAGCATCAGCTCTCTGCTCCCAGCCTTGCTGAGCGACTGATGAGATGCCACTGCCTTCCCATGGATGTGTGCCAGCACAGAAGCAGCTCCAAGTTGCTGTTCAATTACCTGTTATCTCCTCCGTGTTGTTACACAGCTAAATAGCTCTAAGCTTTAATTGAACTTGAGAAAATAAGTGAGGAAAAACACTTTTTTTTATTTTAAAGACACCAACTAGCTGTGGCCATTCCATTCAAACTCCTGATTCCTGCATCGTCACGCTTCAGTGTTCACTGAATGTCAAAGCATTACACCAGTGTTATAAGATGAACTTACAGTTATTGATACTACCAATGCCCTCAAGCTTTGCTTTCACCAGTCAGTCTTTACTTCTGTTACCCAACTCTGGCCCTCATGTTGTTTCAGTGTCCAACACTTACTGCTCTAGAGAAGCTGTCTGTAATGCTCAGAGCCTCTCTCCTCCTCTCAGAAAGGTCTCATTGCTACTTTCACAACCACAATTATACTGCCAACGAGTTCAAATGTAGTGCTACATAAGGCATTACCTACAATTCATCTACTCTCCTCCACCATCCACCATCGTGCACTTTCTCACCCACTAATAATGTCCATCCTGTGCCCAGAAAAGTGATCATTAAATATTCATGTTTCAGGAACAGACACTTCATCCACAGATCTGCCCACATCAAGTACAGTATTTCCTTTAATCTCTTTAATTCTTCCTCCCCAGTACAATATAATTTACAGCAGGCTCAAAATATGAGTTAATGCATCTTTTCTTTCATTACCTTTTCCCCAGCTTGAAAATTTATTATGTGTTCCAGCTGGTTTGACAAGGGTCAGATGCATATGGGATGTTTCAGATTTATACACAGCATTTCAAGTAAGGCACAAGGCACAGCTCTTAGATTTCTTCAGTGGAGTACAGCTGCCCCTGCCTGGAGACATCAGAGACAAAACTTGCATTGGCCCAAATACATGATGAGAGCCCAATAAGGGAGCTATTTCCTATTTCCAATGATTTGTAAACATCTTTGCTTCTACATGCAATGAACTGCAAGTACTGAATGTGCACCTATTGTCCATTTGACCTTTTTCTTACCACATTTTAATCTTGGACGTATTTTTAACAACAAATCATAACAATAAGAAATTCAGTTGCCATCTGATTTGATCAAAGTCACAAAGATCTTCCAGACAAGGAGAACAGCTAATATTTCTTCTTTATCCTTTTGGTAAGAGGATTAATAACAGAAAACCATTCCAAGGATTTTTCCCCAAACCATCCTTGCCTTTTGCGCGACTAGCATTGCACATGTGAATGCTTCAATACTTACGTGTTAGTAGGAAGCAATGCAAATACTTCAGCTGCAGTCATGGAATCTTTCTGCAGCTCTAAGCCAATATCACTTCATGCCACCCATAGGAGTTTCTCCATTTGAATCTAGAAATTGTATTCCACAATACCTACATATTGGGGGCAAGTTCTTTCATCCAGATTCTTTTGCTTGGGTCCCACAACCAAAAGGTGGGAAGCGATGGAGGGCTGCAATTTCCTGAGAACCAGTAGATCCTGGATCTTCTCGTGCTGACAGGGTGTGGAGCAGCAGGTTGTCACTGTGACACCCGCTGGCAGAACTAAAATCTGAGCAAATGGCGAATGCTGTAACGTCTGACAGCTCTCCCAAATTCCCCTGAGCACAGGCTGTCTCAGAGTGGGTACTTCAGCTTGCAGCTTAACATTTTGTAAGCAAGTCGAAATAATCAGGCATAGGTATCTCTAAGGCAACAGTTCTCACACATACACACATACACACAGATGTAGATTTATATACATACACATGTGTGTATATACATGTACACTTCCTCACTTTCCCTGCCTCACATTTAGAGAGCAGAAAATGGAGGGCCCAGCCACTTCTGCACCCTGACTTCCCCGACAAAACCATTTCCTGGCTCTTCTACCACCAAGCACTGACTCATCACATCTCTGCTGCCAGAAAGGGTGCTCCAGACCCGTGGTTTCCTAACAGTTCCCTTGGACAAGCACTGACCCTCCATACGTGACTTTCTAACTCCCTCCCCTCAGGATGACCTGCCACTTCCAAAGCTCCTGGTTCCTCTGTGCTGTAAACAAGTCCTCCTCCAGGAGCATCGCAATCCATTATTAATCCTGCATCACTATGTCTGGGACTTTCAGTCCAAGACAGAAATAAAAAGACTGCAGCACAGGCAGACTAGGACTGCAATTGGAGCAGGGTTTGTAATTTAATAGAACTACCTGGAGTAATGCTGTAATCTCAAACAACCTTCAGAAGTAGTTCAGAGAGAGATTCTCTAAATCCTCAAATCAGCTACAAATATACAGTTGCATTACTACTACAGATTGAAATGCCTTTGAAGTCAACAGAGAGATTCTTACAGGGTTTTTTATAGGCTTATGCATTTATATATATGTATAAATACATACACACACACGTATATACATACACATCTCCCTAGGAGTTTAATTGAGCTGGAGTGTCCCTGAAGAAGTCTGAGCTGAAACCCTAAGGAACAGCACACTCTGAGAGCTCTCTGCCTGTAGGACTTTTTTTGTAAATTTTTTTTTTTTTTTTTTTTTTGAGAAGAGAGATTCCATTAACCACCATTTTTCTTTCCTTCTCTGTTTTGGCAAGGTGAGACTTGTCTCTATTCTGTAATGTAGACATCACCATCTCAGAGCATGGTCCCAAGGAGGCCAATTTGGAGACTGACAAGAAAATCATCCTTTCTATTTGGACAGAGAGAAATGATATTTTTCCAGCTGGAAAGAAGAAAAAACGTAAACCCTGTTGTGTAGTCTTGATCAAGATTTCTGGACAAATCAAGAAAAGTTTGAGATTTGCCAAACTAAGGATCACAGTCATGAGATTTGATTGCTTGCACCATAGCACTGACTTTCCCCAGGCTGTTTTATATCAGTGCAGGAGCACTCCCTGCCAAGGGAAGCTGCATGTTCACAGGAGCCCCATGGTCCTCACGCTGCCAATGCCACTGAAGCATTGAGTCACCCATCCATTTTTCATCCCCATTTTTACCTCACCAACCTTACCACTCCCTTTATGTCTCTTTACCTGCAGTCTCGTAGTCACCGTGTTCACTTCCACTTTTACATTGTAAATTTTAACTCCTTGTGTCTTTTCTCAGCTCCTGTTGGAAGAGCTGAGGGATGGAATCAGATCACTGAATCACCAGCACTGATGTAGGCTTTGGAACCAGGAAGTGAGGTTGGAGGTAATGGCAGCATCCCCCTACCAGCCAAATACACCAACAAGCAGGATTGGATGGGAGACCAAAGGACAGAGTTTTCTACTTCTTTCCACAGAAGGGCTCAACAGAGCAGATCCAGGCAGACAAAGAAGGTGAGAGACAGGTTAAAACAAATGCAGGTATCCTCTGGGGGACACAGGTCAGCTCAGAAATCTCAGGCATTTAAACTTAACCAGCGACTGTGAAAGCATTTCCAAATCAGAAAGAAACTCTGCAGTGAAAAGGGGGAAAGAGGAGAAAATCCCTATTTTGTGACCTCAGGAAAAAGGGAAAGTATTTTTACATATTTCTTGTCTCATGTTAGTTTGGGGGTAGGAGTTAATAACCATCTAAAGGCCACCACTCGTAATAGCTGTCCCATTGGGAACAACCCTTCTGTACAGCTCTGGGTGCTGATGCCCAGCAGGGGCTGAGCCCATCCTCTGAGATCCGAGGGAGAGCACAGCATCGCATGGGCTCGGTCTGCCACTGCTCTGCAAGAAGCTCAGTCCCAGAGCAGGGCTATAGGAACAGAGAGAAGTTCATACAGAAATCAGCTGAAAACCCAAGCGCATATTTTACCAAATCGTTCCTAACGTGCTCTTACTTTGTTTCAAAGCATGACAAATGGAAACAAAAGAAACTGCAGACTTAGACCAAGAACAAAAGGCTGAGTGGCGTGCACAAAGTGGATGAGTAAAGCAAAGGTAGCGAGCCTCAAGCTTCTCTAAATGTCTTTCTAATGCTAATTAAAACACCGCACGGAATTTCCCATGGGAGGCATCGTGAAAATTAAGCCTTGAGGTGGGAGTCTGAGCGAGGGAGAAAAAAATTCTCTGCTGGGTTTCTCCCCCCTCCTTCCCCGGTCCTGTCTCACTCCATCACTATGCTGCTGCCATGGCAAAGTCCCAGCTCTGACCTCACGGCCCCAAGCCAGTCCAGAGCCCTCCTGCACCACACAGAATGTGAGCATCTCATCCAGCATCTCATCCTCTGCGCCCTCTGGAATCATCTCATGCCACGTTCGCAGAGATCAGGTGAGATTTATTTCTAGATGAAACTTGGCTGATAAGACAAAGCAAGTTATTAATCCACTCAGGCCAGGCATCTAACACCCAAAGCCTGTTACTTTTTCTGGCTGGAAAGAGGTATTTGATCGAATCAAGAGGGATTTGTTTAGCTCTCTCTTCTTGTTTAAGTTAGAAGATGCTTAAAATTTGCAGCTGGGGGTTGTGCCCCTGCCAGCTCTGCAGCACCTGCAAACAAACCCACGAGCTGTGGTGCAGCTAAAATGGGAACAAGAGCAGGACCTGTGTGCTCTCTGCTACAGCCTTGTTTGGTATCAGGATGTCAGGACTGGCAATAAGAGCAACTCTGATCACTTGTGGCATTTTCTTTTTGTCCTGAATATTCGTTAAACATCCGTTCCTTTCAGGCTGTGCACTCGGCTTCCTGACACTCCTCTGGCTACTCTGCAAGTTCTTTCTCTTTACCTATTCCTTCAGGAGACCCAAGACACACCTCATGAGATTCCCAGGACGTCACTGCGCTGCCCAAGTTCCAGCTCCCAGCAGTGCCCTGTCCCAACCCAGATGCTGGGGTTGCTTTGAATCTCAGGGGAGATTGAGTAGATGTGTTTCTGTACCACTGTGCTGGAAAGTTGATTTCTCCATAGCGGTGGTTTCAATCTGTCAGAAGCCTGTGTTTAGCTGCTGCTTTAGCCAACAGGGACCAGATTTTCTCTTTCTGTCAGAGGGTTTCATGACAAAATCAGTATCAAGGGGATCAGCTGGAGAGTGATGATAATGCTTTTAGCATCTGAGCCAAAGCCCACTGCCTTGACTGAAAGCCTTCCCACTGACTTCAGTGGGGCTCAATCAGCCCAATGCTCCATCGCAGGATGGGGCCAGATTTGCTTTGAACACATTTGCAGAGTTAGACACCAAAGTTTCCAAAGACCAAGATCTGCTCCAAGCAAGGAAGTTTGCTAATAGGTAGGGGAAAAGGGAAGACAAAGGAAGTGCTGTTCCTTCCTTTCCACATCCTTGCAAACCTTTGTATTTCTTGCTGCCATTATACTTCTTGCTTAAGTATCCCTTAAATATCTACTAAGGGATCTGAATAGAAAAATACATTGACCCATTTTTAACAGAGATGTAAAACCAAAAGCTCTTGCACAACTAAACAAATAAGAGTAAGTAACATGATTTTCTCCATCTCTATTGCATTAAGCCCAAATTCTGCTTTCTGGGGAGCAGATCTTGACACATGGTGACAAGCTGCCAAAGTTCCCACAGGGAGAAGACTCCTGACCAGCCCTAATAAACAAAGCACTCCCTCCACAGCAAACCCCATGCAGCTGCTCACTTGTCTCAAGGTGACCATCCAAGGGTTGAAATAAGCAACCTCACTCAGGAGCTGGTTGTGACCACATTGGTAAGGCCAGAGGCTCTTGCTTTCTTCTTAGGGTCTCTCTCTGTTACAGAATGCTGGAAGTTAATTAGCCACTTGCATAAAAAGGAGGAGGGCTGAGGGAAGGTGTGACAGAGACAGTTGGCTGTCAGAGGGGAACATCTCTTCATGTAAATACCCATATCCATTCACAGGCTTCAGGAAACCTCATCCCTGAGAAAATACATGCCAGATGCAAAGCATCTGATCCGCAACAACTTCCCCTTCACAGCCCCTGGTTAATTATAACTTTGAGGAACAGCAGTCTATAATCATGTACGTGGAAACTCATTTCTCTTTAAATGGATCCTGGCTAACAGTTGCTTTTTACTGGAACAATTTTCAAGTAAACAAGCTCTGAAACTTGAAAGGAATCTTAAACTCCATTAAATAATACAGTTCCTTAGCAGGAATTTCTCCTGGGAAGAGATGTCTTCTACTCAAGTGCCATGTTATGACAAGCATGACAGACTTGATAGCGATCTGTTCCAACTCATGACATTGCTTAAATTAGGTTAGATAGAATCTGTACAGGCTTTCTAAGGAAAGCTCCTCCGGGTGAAAGCACTATTATTTTTGTTAATGGCTGTGAATTATGATTTGCTTCTCCTAGGAGTCATAAACAATGTTGTTACACAGTAGTACATCATGTAATGTATGTAATACATGATGCCTTAGTAGAGGAGGAAACTATTACATTTGCATACATTAGAGCTACAGTTGTAATCAGAATGTGTTTTCCCACTCATTCACTGAATATGTATGGCTCTCTTTCCCACTTCCCTTTCTGTTACATATGTCTCTTCCTTGACCTGGTGTCTTGCTCTATTTTATTCAGACTTAGGAAGGATGCACGCTTACAGGATGTTTCTGTTTCTCTGCAAAGACCAAGCAACCAGCTTCCTTTCAGACCACTTCCCGAACCTCAGCTATACCTCAGCCTCAGCCTCATGAAAAGACAGATGGAGGCAGAAAGCAGCTCAGCACCACTGCTGTGGGCTCACGCATGCATCAGGGCACCAGTCAGCAGCTGACGGCACCAAGGACACTTGCAGGTAAACAAGGGGATTTTAAGGTTAGCAATGCCCTGCAGCCTGAGCAGGTGACAGCTTACACCTCAGAGGGCTGCCAGACAGGGCTGGGTGGGAGGGATGACAAACCCATCCTCCTGCTGCAATCCCCACAGAACACAGCACCTCTGCACCAGCAGTAGCAGCAGGGTGGGAAAGCACAGAGCAATGCATCCAGCGTTGCTTCATGCAGTTGTTTCCAGGGGTTCACATCTTCAAAGGTGAGCTGGGTTCCTAAGTCATCAAGGTCTTATTCGGAAATCCTGCACGGCAGTCCACCAGGAGAACCCTGTTTTTATTCTCACACACCACTGATCATTCATGTCTTGAATTTAAAGAAAGCCATTCACGTGCAAAGCCAGATGATGAAAAGGTTTGTTCTGAGCCTACATGAACACACCTATTTCCCCATCAATAAATTTCAAGCTAAGAAAACTGACACCCATTTGTAATTTGCGAGGAGCTGGAGGCCACCTGAGCAACATGGACAAAGAAAATCAGCACATGGTTTTGCTGCTTCACACGAGCGCAGAAATGAAGCAGCAAAGCTGCTCTCAGAACAATGAAAAGGCTGCATCCCAACACAGCAAATTCATCATAGAATGGCTTAGATTGGAGGGGACCTTAAAGATCATCCAGTTCCAACCCCCTGCCACAGGAAGGGCTGCCAACAATCAGGGCAAAATAACACTTGGCACTTTGGAAGATATGCTCCCAGGTACAATGATGCTGATCAGCACAGAGCAGACCTTCTCCATGTCCATCACATCACCAATGGCTTGAGCAGGGGAAGAGAAGGGCTCAGGTCTAAGAGTCAAAGCTTTACAGTAATGCTGGGCTGCACATTCACACCTGAGTTATTGCCAGTGTGGGGAGGTTATGGAGAAACCAAGAGCATTTCTAACCAACTTGAACCAATTTAAGCACAGGTTTCAAGTGACACGTTGTTATTTTTATTATTGAGCTGAAAGATCACTGCAGGTAAACTTCAACCTTTCAGGCAGCCTATGGATAGTACAGCAAACAGCGAGAGGCAGATGCTGGTGGAGCTTCTGTCACCGAAGGGACACATAAGGATTTATCTGTTTTGCCACACAGAAATATTCTGTCTCAGAGCAAATTTATTGTTGGGCTGCCAGGGAAAAGCTGTTCTTGTTCCTTTTCATTAGAGAGAGGGTGGTTGCGATGTGAGGTTTCTGAGTGCACACTAAGGAGGAGGTGGCATTCCATGGTACTCCAAGGATTTTAATGCATGACCAAAGATGTACTCAGAGCTAAAAGATGCTTATGTGCCTAAAGGTGCAGAGAAGCACAAGGGCTCATGTCCTTAGGGAGGAAAGCACTGAAATGCTTTGTTTCCTGGGCAGGGCTTAGTGCAATTTCCATGCCCTCAATGTCAGGAGCACCGCATCCCTCTGCTCTGGGGTTTTGTGGAGCTGCCTGTGCACCTACTTCACCCTATAGAGAAATAAATGATCATACAAAACTGGTCTTTGTACTAAAGAACAGCTACATTTCAAAGGAAAACACATTTCTCAAAAGGGTGTTGCAATTTCTGAGGTATCAGGACAGGCACAAATCAAACAGTAGCTGGTGGCTTTACTTTCTACATTTGAATTCATGAAAAGTTCATATTAAAACAAAGGGAAAAAAAAAAAAAAAGAAAAGCAATGCATAAAAACACCTTGAAACATTTCTTGCCTCTCTCTTCCAACATGAGACTCTAACCACAATTTAAGAAATATATAAGCATCATTTACCATCCAGGGATGGACAAACACCAGCACTCTGCTCCTGCATTCAACCTGGAAAGATTGTTAATGCAAAGCGAACAAGAAAGGATCAGGCCTTAAGCTACCATCCCAGCCCAGCATCCCTACAAGAGGAGATCATGCACAGACATGTAGGGGGGATTTGGTAATTGTATCGTGTGATGATTTTGCAGTTGATAAGCAGCAGTCTTCCACCTTCAGCACTGTTAGTCTGGCTTCTATATGAAAACAAAATTTGTTTTGTTTTGTTTTTAAAACAAAAAGATATGTATGGCTGATAAGTGTTATTTGATCATTTTTGTGAACTTTAATTTGTTTTATACTTTATGCTCTCCAAACTACTATGTAAAGTTATACTTCAAGCAACAACGACATAAATCAAAAACAAGCTCAAAAAACTCCTCACCCTTTTAAAGTATTGCATGAGTATTATTTAACCACGATGCATGCAAATTAAATTCAAATTAAATAGCAATGGGTGTGGTGCATATGCAAATTTCTAAATGCACCCAGTCCCCATTTCCCCATTATGAAATGCCTACAGCTGTAACTCCCTGACCTTACGAGCTGCTCAGCCTCTAATACAATCTTTGTCATTGTAACAAGGCCAAAAGAGTGGAAGATGGAACAACATCAGTCCATCTCCACAGACTTTCAAAGCACTTGCAAAGACCCCTACAAAATAAGATCAGTGCTTTTCTGAAGGAAATATGATGACTGCTCTCCTGACTGACCTACCTGGCACTCAGCAATGAGACAGTAAAACCCACAGCATGGGCTGAGCCCCATGGGTGGCTGGGCTTCTCACACAGGCTCCCTCTGTGGCTCACAGCTGGAGGTTGGGCTGGTGAAGCTTTACAACCATTCTCCTCCATCTTCTTCTGATATCTGAAACCCTTCTGATTTTGACTTCCTTTGAAATTTCCTTTTGAATCTCTTATCTGAGTGTTCTTACCAGAGATGTGAGGACTTCCACCCCTTGACAGCCTCCCTGCATTCTTCTCAGGATTTCACAGAGAACCCTCCAGCTGCTCAGTTTCCATCCAGAGCCCTTGTCAGAGGAGAAAGGCATCGAATTTAGTTGCAAGAGACTTGGTAACAGAGGAGTTTCTTTCAAACACCACCTCCCATACCTGGCAGACTCAGACTTAACACAAGGATTGTTCCTCCACCCTTTAATTAAAGGAGTTTCCTTCAGTTTCAAAGCAGTAGAACAAAGCAGCCCCAGCATCTCTCAATAACTATCTTCCTTTCTAGCTCTCATAATATAAAAGGAATCTGACAGTTTTTCTCTCCTGTATCAGTCTCATCACATCTGTCATCAGGACTTTTCTCTGAGGATGCATTTATATGCATTCTTTCCAAAACCAGTTCTCCACCACAACCCACAGCAAAGCCAAAAAGCCAAGGCACGCGGAGGGGGACACCCCATCCAGCCCCCTGGGCACAACCACTAAACTCAGTCAACAACAACCTTTGGAGATCAGCCTCTTCAGGGAAAGCAGAGGTGACTCCAAGGAGAGCTGGGGGAACAGAAGGGACAGACAAGAAAATGAGCACGGACTTGTGGAGGCACTCTGAGCACAATGCACATGAAGCCCCATCCACTGCAGATAGGACATCCTAATTTATGATTGCAGATCTCAGAGTAGCCTGATCAGAGGCAGCGTCTGAAAGATGAGCATTCATGACTTTCTCCTGTCTCCTGTTCCCAGATAATTATCCCTTTCTTAGGTGATTAGAAGACATTCTAATCTGTTTTTTTTTTTTTTTTAAAGCTCATTCCATCAAATTAGGCATCATGTCGTGCAGTGGCTTCATGGATGGTAAAACCTGTACCAAGCAACTACTGAAGACAACAAAGCCATCTCCATGTAATCCTTGCTGTTTGACAAACCAGTGATTCCTCCATGGGAGAGGCACAACAAGCACAGGGAAACCCACATCTTCTGGAACATGAGTCGGGAACATCCTAGTTCCCCCCATCCACCTCTGGGTGCAAATGATGGTGGGGAGCATGCAACACACCATTCCTTTTCACCCACTGATAGTGAGAAAAGCCAAAACCACACTGCAACTCACTGTTCTCCCCACCCGGCTCCAGAGGGACATTGAATTGCTCAGCACTGATAATTACTAACCTCCAAGACTGCTATGGTGTGGGATGTGAACCTCAGCCTCTACAGCATCTCATAATGTATGCTTGCTCATACTAGGGATTATGTGGTCCTGATGGAAATCACATCGCTTCGCAAGGATAGAGAGAGCACACAGCTTTTGGATTAAGAGAGTTATCTACCCTTTAGGTGCTTTTTAGCCTATTCTTATCCTTGGAAGGTAGCATGAAGTAGCAGTTCCTACCCAAGGAGCACTCTCCTTGGAGTATTAGCAGTTTTGCAAATTGGGAACTCTCGTTAGTGGACATTTGGTTGACTACTGTTAAGATACACCTGTGCTTTGGTCTCATGAGTCTGCCCACATAGTCATCCACTTGACATCCCAACCTGCTGCATATTTTATCATTTTATAGCCTGCTCCTCCATCATGTCACTGTGTACATATACTTAATGTGGTCTGACCTTGAGGAAAAAAAACCCTGTTGTTATATAACTGCACTCATTAATCCAGCTCAGCCTTCATGTCCCACTGATCCTTCTCCATACCAACAATAACCCAGGTCCTGCTGAAGATACGGAAAACCTCCAGCTCTAAAGTTATTGCTCTCCATCTTGTCTTCATGCTGCTTTGACCAAGTAAACTGTAGCACTACTAAACTTTTCTTATAAAAATGATCCTTCCTTAGTTAGAAATGCATTACAGCAGTGAATAACAAAACACAGAGAAACAAAGGGGTTGAAAAAGCCTACTCTCTCCATACTGACAGAGGAGAGCATCTATACAAACTATTCTTGAAGTATGTTTTTTAAGCTTTTCTGAGAATTATTGGGAATGAACCCTGCTGTACTTCTATTTTAACAAGACTTTTTATTTTTCCATAGTTTGGTCCTTTTTTTTTTTCTTTTTTCTTTTTTTTTATGTTTTTTTTAAGTAAATTCTAGATCTATATACATTTGTATACATTTGTTCTAGATGGAATGAATCAAATTAAAAATTACTTCCCATGTTTGGTTTTGGTTATTTTGTTCATTTGTTTTGTGTTTTATGCATTAAGCTCATGTGTAAAATACACAAGACACTATCAAGACAAATTGGAATCCTTTTGTCTTTAATTTCCAATCTGAAAATATTTCAAACTATACAACACATAGGAAGTTGGAAAGCATTCCATAGGGAGAAATAATGAATAAATCAATTTGATGTCTTTCCAGTCTGACAAAACAAAGAAACATTCTGAGCAGAGGTTTTTGGGGACAAAAGAAAAAATCACATTTTCATCTTTTCTTTGCAGTGTTAATTTATGCTTTACGTATTTAGAAAGTAGTAGATTTGAAACTTTAAAGCCTGCTGTTACCTGTCTCCACACGCATTGTTCATGGAATGAACACTGTCACATCGTGACGCCCTGGTACATTTAAGTACCATGAATGGTGTACTTGCAGTTACTGCACTTCCTTCTTTACTACAGGATGGTTCTTCACTGAAGGTTTTTTTTTTCCCCCAACCACAGCTCTGACCTCAGTCACATCACTGGGAGGAATCTCTTAGGACATTTGGCTCTGCTGCCTTGCAAGAACATCCAGCACTTTCAAATATACTTCAGTCAGTGAAACCAGTTGTACCCAACTAAGCAACAATCTCCTACTACAGAGCAAAACAGAGCAGAAATACCTCTTTCAGGGCTCAAGAAGTGGAAACCACTTGAAGTTTCTGGAATATCATCCTCCACCTAATTCCATAGAAAATATTTCTTCCAATCATGTCATATATGGAATCAGTTCTGAGCCCAGCTGCTCATCTTGTGATGCCATTGAATGAAAGGGAAGGAAAAAAGGACTCTAATGTTCTAACAGCTGACTACAAGATCAGATGCTGATAAAGCCAATCATACGAGCCAGGATTTCAGTTTGGATGTTGTATTTAGTCTTGTTTGTATAAATAAAACATGATTTGATGGTATTTTTGACTCTTGAACAGACAGTCCTTTTCACCTTAGCTTCTTCTCACAAAAAACTTTCAGGTATTCCAATTTTGAAACCCATATCATTATCTGGATTTTCTCATGAGGCAGATAAAAATACAGATACAATAAAAACTAGAATCACTATGTATGAAAAAAATCAATGACTTTCCTGCCTGTAAAAGTCAGAGAAGAATAAAAGACTCTTTTATAAATACAAGTAAACAATACTTCATTAAAAAAAAAAAAAAAAAAAACAAACAACCAGGATTCAATATATTAAAAGAAAAAAAAAGAAAAAAAAATGCCTTCAAAGGTCTTCTTCCAACAATCAATAGTTTCTTTAAGCTTTTCAGAAATTCCTCCTTGACCTTGAACATCCCTGCATGTATTCCTCTGTTACCTCTCCCTCCTACCTGCCAGTGGAATCACATGGGCCTCAGAGAGGTTATCACCAATGGCACAGCACAGACAGCTGTGCTGTAGTTGTTCTCATGGCTACCACCACCTTTGCTATACTGGCTCAGCCTGCAGCTTTTGATGGAAAAAAAAAAAAAGAAGCTAATAATAACAATTCATACTAAAAGTAGACTCTTCATCCTCAACCTAGTTACTATTGCTGGTGATCAGATAGTAGAGAAGTGGAGACAGGTTCTGCTCTCCCTTCCTTGAACAGCCCACAGGCATTCAGATAATCCCTTCTTCTCTCCATTAATTATGCAGTATGATTAGGAGAGACGTAGAGGTGCTGCAGGCTTGGCTGCCAACAGTCTGCAGTGACAGTCAGAGTTCTTGTCCTCCACAGACACAACCATTGACGCTAACAGCATGCCAGAACACCTCCAGGAAATTAGCTCTTGGAGAGGAGCAGATGGCTTGAACTGAATCCAAGTGAGGCTGAAGTGAACGAATCCAAGCACAGCCAAAATGTACGTCCAGAACAGGGATCATGGAAACATCATCTTTCCTTCGTGGAAAAGCACACTGTCCACATTTGCCAAAGCTGTGCCTTGTGTCTGACACTTGGCAAACTCCAGCTGCTTGGGTTGCATCATTAGCCCCTGAACATGTCACTTCTGGGAAGTAATATAATAACTCAATGTGTCTTGAAACTCAACTTGGGAACGGTACACCAACTCCAGCTGATTGGGAATGGGGAACAACTGCTTTTTCTATGGCTCACGTAGCCAAGAGCACATCTGATTTGCACTCAAGTCTTTCCCAGAGCTCTCTGTCAGCATCTGATGCCAACTTAGGGCCTTGCTCCCATTTTTCAGAGCAATTAGTGTCTTAAGACCCAACTACACCAAAGATGGAATTTTCATCCATGAACACCCATGGTAACAGTTCCTCCTATGAGAGGTCATAAAGCTCAGAGTAAAGTTTTGAGGAGAACTGTGAAGAAAATACGCCCTTTTTGTCAATAGCTCTGGAGTAATTTTCTTATGGTGATGATGTAAATCCATACTGTGGAACACTTCAAACATGATTTCTTTGGGGCAGACTTATTTCATAATTTAATCGTACAAATCAGATGAGTGTTACATTCCCAAGCTTTTCTCAATTTTCTCATCTGTTACTGATAAACTGCCACAGTTTTCTACTCCCATGTGGAGAACTGGAAGAGGCTTTGTGAAGTCCAGTGAGGCTGTGAATGCCCACTCACTGGAAGCATTCAAGACCAGACTGGATGAGGCTTTGAACAGAAGGTGTCCCTGCCTATAGCAGGAGGGTTGGAATTAAATGGTCTTAAAGGTCCTTTCCAGCCCAAACCATTCTATGATTCTAAGTCCACTGGAATCTTAACACCTCAGTCAATCTCGCCCACGTACAAATGCTTCAGCAGTTAAATACCCTCAAAGGAATTAAGGAAAAGGAAGGTTTATTTGCACTGAAAGAACTTTGGTTTTC